CAGAGTTGGCCCTGGCCACCCACTGCCTCTACCATGTTCTAGTAAAATCTCTGCATTTCTCTCCCACTATGTTCCTCTGCCCTCATGCTGTCCTTGCTCCACTCCAGAGTCAAGCTCTGAGCTCCGGAATGCCGCCTTCTCTTACCTCTGTTGACCAAGCGATTCTCCCTCAAAGCCGGATAGTTCCTGGTCCCATTTGTTTAGAAGTACTGTGGAAAGTGACCGTGACCTACAGCTTGATCCCGGAGTCCCAGAACTTGGAGCATCTGTGGCAGATCTGCTTGGCATCACTGTTTAGCTTTCCAGGATGCATAACGTACAGTTATCCACTCAGTAAAATCCAGGTTGTCTGTGCTTAGTTGAAGCCGGTAGGCAGCAGATAAAAGCTCCTTCTGTTTGATGAAGCGGTGAAGCGTCAGGAGTTGAGTTTGTCGCCTCCCCTGTGAATTCGACTTTGTCCCCAGATTCACGTTCGGTTTGAACGCACCTTTAGAGGAAAAAAAACACCCTGTTTCTTACCATTTAAACAGTTGTATGCAGTTTTATAAACCGATGTGAGATATTGATTTTTCTTTTATATAAAAAAGAATATTTTTTTATTGTCAGATGAAGAAGAGAGTGAAGATGAGGACAGTTCAATGGAAGAGCAAACAACTGGAGATTCCACAGGTGACGGTTTCTACACTGCATTCACTTGGAAGAAAAAAGCCAACATCATTGCAGGGCTTTAGTTTGATTCATTCAATATGATATACATGCATTTTATCTCATAAAGGAGACGAAATGGAAGGACAAGCTGAGCTGTTAGAAGTCACATCTGATCAGGGAAAGTTTAAAGTGACGTGTGGAGCTTTGACTGGAACTTTACACAAAAAGCGGTTTGGATCAGGTAACCACTTCCTACAGAGAAATAAAGAACAAGTATTAAGCTAAACAACAGTTAAGCTATCAGAGATCTACTGTCATATGAAAATCTCTGTTTGTTCTCTCTAGGGAAATGTGGGAAAAGTATTCGCACTGAGCTGAGATGGCTTACCCCAGTGGAGTTTGTGAATGTGGCTTTAAACCAGAGTGATGCCACTTGGAGGAAGGACATCCTGTATGATGGCAAACCCCTCAGTCATCTAATAGAGGTAAACATGAATCCTCCTGTGAAATCAGTGGAGCTGAGATTCAGGTTAGGTTTGGGACAGCCTGGGTGTTTTTTGTGCTCTAAAAACACGTTTGATTATAACTCTTAAAGGGAAAAAGGAAAAGTTATTTGGTTTTAATGCCTTAAATTATAAAACAGAAACTGAGAGGTTGTCAATTTTTCTCTTTTTCAGGCGCGGGTGTTGTTGATTCACTCGTTACTCTGCAAATGCAACCTGTGCAAACCGAAACCTGAAGACCTGGTAATTTTTTTTCCAGTCGATTTTACTCAGCATTCATCCTGAAATGTGAATGTAAGTTTGAATGTAATATTTGCATTGGACTGATTTATCTTTCAGGATAATCAGAAAAACGATGATGAGTGTTGCATCTGTAAAAGTGAAGGAGAAGAGGAGTTGGTTGAGTGTGATAACTGCCCTCGATCATTCCACCAAAACTGCCATTTGCCTCGTGTAGACGACGCTATTCTAAGGTACAAACTAAAACTGATTTGAAAGTGTCTGTGTTTGGAAGTAAACTGCTTTTCTTTGGTCTGTTGGGTTTAATGAAAGTATTTCTAGTATTTTCTTTCAAAAAATGTTTTACCACTCTTGTAGATAAAAGATGCATACCTGGATTTTTAAAAGCAAAATTACTTTAAATTTGTTGTTTATATTTAGAAAAGTTTGAAAACAGCTGTAAACCTGAGCAGTGGGTAGCACACTTTGCAGAGGGAAGGCTGTGGGTTTGATTCCTGGCCGGCGTCTTTCTGCATAGAGTTTGCATGTTCTCCCTGTACTTGCGTGGGTTCTCTCCAGGTACTTGGACATCCTCTCACAGTCCAAAAACATGACTGTGTTACATTAATTGGATGGATGGATGGATTTGAGCTCATTAAATCTAGGCTGAATTAACTATATTTTATTGAATTTATCATGAACCAAACAACACAACAACAACAACAAAACAAAAAAAATGAATTAGCACTTTTCTGTAGTGCTGAACTGAAAGCCAGTTTGTGAAGCAAATTACTGGGTTGCTTCATAATTTACTGGCAAATGCACGGATACAGTAATATAAATATAAACCAGTTTGTACTTTACTATCTATAAAAGCTATCAAGAAAAACCTAAAAGAAACCCACTTCTGGGAAATCTATTAATTATGGATCTTTTAAATGCAATAACTTAAAATATTGTAACCCTTAGAAAGGACTGTTTTCAAAACCTGCATCTGTGTAAACAATTTAAGATTAGGAGAGTATTTTTAATTATTTATACAAGTACATGAACCGAAAAAAGCAGTATTCAGCAGGAACTTAGCAAAATGGGTGGGTTGATCATTAGGAATCATGTTTCCATACACAAGTTTGAGTATAGAAAAGATGAGAAATGTAACATCACTGTCAAGCTGAACACCCCTCTTGAAGGGTGTAAAATTCAATTTAGTTTATTTCTATAGCACCAATTCACAACACATGCCATCTCAAGGCAATTTACAGTTCACCAGATCATACAGTCAGATTGATTCAATGTTTTCTATCTAAGGAAAACCAG